ATATCTTTATAGATAAGGAAGAGCTTGTGCATAAGGCCATTAAAATTGAGAAAAGGCTTCAAGAGAAACGATTGAAATCTTCAACTTTTAATTGGAGGGACTCAAAATCAACCTATAAATTGAAGGATTCTAAGGCCCAAGAAGAAGTTAAGCTTATGCCTCAACCAAGGAGGAATCCAAGTCCAAATATGATGGTGAAAATTTATCAATTGGTGAAACTTTAGTTATCATATGTTCTTTATAAGTGCAGTCTAAAGTAGATAAAGAGAAAGAACTAGAGAGAAAGAGAAGTTCAAAAACTAGCTCTCATTTCAAGGAGATAGAATTTATGTCTATTATTATCCTTGATAATGAGCTAGAAGTTGAATCAACAAAGGAGAAAAAAATTTGACTGTTGAAAATTATGAAAAATAAATGTATAGATGAATACCTTTTCATTCCAAGTATGATACTTAGGGTTGAAGAAAATTCCCTTATGCATAAAGAGAAAAATGAACATATGAGTAAGAATGGTTTGAGTAGTTGAGAAAGTTTTGAGTTAGAAAGAGACGAATGAGAGAATGAAAAAGAGGGAGAGAAAAATAAAAAAAAGGAGCCAAAATTTGAAAAAGAACTAGAAGGAGAGGTTGAGAAAGTTTTATCTACTAATATTGTTAATCATTCTTTTTCTAGTTATGTTAATTCTCCATTACAGCAATTTGATGATGCAAGTTTACCATTAAAAGATCCTCAAAAAATCAAGGATAACTCTTCTTTAAAAGGAGGAGAATGATGTGATCCTGTGTGGCAGCCCAGTTGGCATCTAAGATGCATCCTAGGTGACATCAAAGATGGCATCTTATTTGACAATCTAGTTCTAGATAGCAACATGTGTGATAACTATATATTAGGTGGTATTACGTGTCATCAAATTACCTAAAGCCAAGTTATCTAAGTGAAGATACTTATATTAAAGAGATTATAATATGTGCTGAGAGTCCAAATCACTATATTAAAGGCCTAATATATAATGTCTATCTTGACATTATCAAGACAATATTCTCACACGTCATTGTGATAACTAGAATTAAAACTTGTAACAACCCAAGGGTTTAAAAGAAACTCATTTAAAATATTAGGATCCCAAGAAAACCTTCTTTTACAAAAGTTGTTTGAGCTCAAACTATGAATTAAAATAATTGGAATAGGATAACGGAAGCATGAGAAGTAAACAACACTTGAAAATAAGTAGAAGAAGATTGAAATTTCTCTAGAGACTGGCCTGTTTGCTGTGGCAAATGGCACAGAGGGATGAGTCCCTCAACAAGCATTATGCCGCGGTGCGCAACTACTGTCACGACAATAAAATTGTTGTCATGACAATACTCTAAACTTTTGGAGTGCACCTTTTTGCTATCCAATGTCCAATTTAAGCAATTCAAGTGTCCATACAAAGTTCTTCAAGCCCTCTAACTAATTGTATCGGTTTTACACCTAAATTCTCAATTGTTAATAAGATGGATACCTGAATCCAAAGTGGTCTGTTTTTACCTCAAAACACATTTAAAGGTATCCTATTCACACCACCAAATGCCATTAGCTCTGAAGGAGGCAAATTGGGCCATAATCTTACTTTAAGCCTAAATGCTTGAGGTGAAGGCTTCAGTTAAAGGGAGAAACGAGCAGTATGATAAGTAAGCTGACAAAAAGCTCATGAAAGTTGTCTTTGAACTTGAAAATTAAGTTTAGGCACATCTCAGCCAAGGATATGTCCAAATCTGAGGAAGACAAAGTTGCATGCAAAAGGTGATGGACCTTTTCAAGTGTTGGGATGAATTAATGATAGTGCCTATAAGATAGATCTTCCTTGCTCCTATAGGAATGTGTCAGCTACATTCAACATTGCTAACCTCTCTTTATTTAATACATGTGATTCGATGATGAATCCTCTTTAGGAAGAAGGGAATGATAAAAATCAAGGGATGTGTCAAAATTCAACATTTAGTAACTTTGACCCGTTACAGGACATTAGAGAATCCATGACTAAATCTAGAGCTAAAAGGATAAAAGAAGTCTTAAATTTATTAATTAGGGATGTCCTAAAAGATTAATGTGTCCTAAAGGTAAATTGAGTTCTAAAAGACCTAAAAAAAAACTCTTAGCATATTGGATTTAACTCAAGATGTTCAGGCCCATGAGCCCAATTAGTTTAGTTATTATTATTTTTTAAATTTAAAAAATTAGTTTATCTTATTTAAATCTTAAATTTAAGTTTAGAAAAATTAGTTTATTTTGTTTTAAATTCAAATAAGGATAAAATATGTCCATTGGGATATGATCTATCTATTGAGAATCCTAAATTAATCAGGATTGCATCATTTAGGTTTTTAAAAGTCTATTTAGACAATTTAGCTTTTTCGTATTTTTAGAAGATTTATTAGATTTATGGATTGAATTTGTTCAATTGTGTGGCTATTTTGATTAGTATTATTCTTTATGAGATAACACACCATGGAATTTTGAGTTATCGTAAGCTATCATTAGGTTACCCCATATTACTAGGGCTGTATAAATGACTAACACGATAGGACTTTAGTTTAACTTGAAGTTTGATCTTTTTCATGAAAATGACTGAGGTAGGTAACCTGTGGTCTGGTTTGGTGTAGTCCTAGTATAACCCCAAAGCTAAATAAGAGCATATTGGTCTAGTAGGATTAGGAGATTGGTCTCGATCTTATCCAGTATCTCACTTTGTTTTTTTTTTCATCTATGAGAGTCATCAATTTATTTCAATATAATAAATTTAATTAAGATGATAAAACTATTTATAGTTATATAAAATTTATTACAACAAAAATTATAAATCCACAACAATCTATAATAACAATAAAAAGTATTCCAATTACAACACAAATGATTAAAATTAAATAACCTTTAATATGTCCAAAGTTCATTACACTTAGTTAATATCAAATTTTACTAATAAAAGGAGAAGACTGAAGTTGGGTAATGTTAAAATTTTGCTCAATATTCATTACTCCACAAGTATAAAATACTAAAAATTACTAATTATTATTCTAAATTAATTTATTGTAATAATAATTAATAAATTATTTATAATTATATTAAATAACTTTATAGGATCAAACTAGACTAAATGGTCAAGATGTTAGGTCTCTCGTCCAATTTAGCCTGAAGAAAGAATCTGGCCTTCTTAATCATTTTAGTCTTAAAAGACTAGTTTTTATCTAGACTGGAGGAGATCGGGTTGTGTCGAGTTGAATCGGACTGAATAAGACTAAAGATCTTTTGCATAGCCCTACATATCACTATATCTTGCAGCATTTTGTTGAACTTAAATCCTTTAAATTAGCATGGCTTATCTTTAAGACGAGCTTTAAATTAAATTGACAATTAAAACTTTGTGCTCATTCTATGTTATACTCTTTTTAAAGTAAAAATACCACCACAGTAAACAAAAAAATAATAAATTTATCTCAATTATCAATTTAATCATTTAAATTTAATTTTTTTATTAATATAGTTACTTATGTTTTCTTAAGTTATCACAGTAGTCATTTAAATTTTAGAACATAAATTGACTCTTAAATTAATCTGATATATAAATATGTTAATGAATGTTTTATCGAATTGTTACAAAACCGGTTATATTATATGATAGTGAATGTTAGGCTTTAAAAGGATAATATGAGCGTAAAGTTAGAATAATAAATATTAGAATGTTAAAATGGATGTGTGCGCATATACTAAAAGATAAAATTTAAAATTGAGCATGTATAAGAAAAAATGAGTGTGACATTTATTGAGAAAAAAATGATAAAAGGTAAAAAATTATTTAAAATGATTTGGATATATATAGAGAAGGCCATGGTGTGAGAGGCACCGTTGAGAAGAGTGAAATAAATAATTTTGAATCCTATAAAAAGAGATAGATGAAGATTAAAGAAAACATTTATAAAAGTTATTAAACAAGATTTTTTAATTAATAATATTTTTAAAAACTTAACTAATAATAAAATAAAATAGCATTGTGTAATTCATATAACCAACACCATATGGCTTATTGTATAAATAAGTTGGTGACGTGACATCTATATTAACTAAATGAAAACAAATTGGACAATAGTTTAATTTATATAAATTTAGTTCCATACGTTGCATTTTGTTATTTAAATTTTATAAGTCAATTTTCTGTCTTTTTACTTAAATAATTATATTTTTTTCATCTATCTATATTACTGTTAACTTAGTATTCTATTATTTATGTCACCATATTTTAACAATGTTGCATCATATTCAAAATAATAACGACTAAAGTAATAACGATTTTAATCAAATACAACTCTTTGTTATTTGTGTAAAAAATGATCCAAGAAATAAGTTTACACTTTGTTTTCGCCCATTCTTTTTAATTTTTTTTCTCAATTCAAATATATTTTACAATTACAAGTTTCTAACCAAAAGACAGAGAAACTTCCAATATCATTGACGATTGGGAGAAAAAACCAGAGGAGTTTTTGAAATTTTGTTATTTTAATCACAAAAAACAAACAAACAAACAAATGGAATGTGAAAGAAAAACGACAATGTAGAACATCGGTTTCGCCGTTTCGGAGGTGGGTCCACTTCATACAGCTGGCATCGCTATTGCGTGTGAATGCCGGACCTGCTTCTCTTCATTTTCCCCCTTCTTCATTTATCCTTCACTTCTCATTTCAATCATTATATTTAAATTTAATGTTTTATAAAATTATTATTATAAAAATTTTATAAATAATAAATTTATAAAAAATAAATAAAATAATAATTTTATAAAATATTAAACCTCAATCATTTAATAATTGAGATGAGAAATGAAGAAAAAATGAAAAGAAAAAGAAAGGGAGAGAAGCCAATTCTGTGATTGCCTTGCCGTGATCCGCTACGTTCGGCCTTTCATTCAACGCCACGTCATCCCGCCATTTTACTTCACGCCTCGCTCTTGCTCGCTCCCTTCTTTAACTACCTTAACGATTTGCTCTCACTCCTAACTTCACAACCAAAAGCATTTAACAGATTACATTTTCACGTCCTAAGCAAACAATCCAAATTCACTCTTTCAGTCTCAATTTCATATATTTATTCTGATTTTTGTGTGAATCGTAATTTTGAAATCTGCGGAGCTTCGAGTGGTATCTCTGAGATCAGATAGAGATGTCGAATTTCCCCGATTCCCCGACAAAGACGAATTTCGATTCTTCTCCGGCCAACCTGACGCCGGCGTCTACTTTACAAAATATGGAGCACCAAACGCAACCGGGAATGGGTGGCGGAGTCGGCGGAATATTAAGGCGATGGAAGAGGGACGATTTGTTCAAGAGAGGCTCGTTGGGATTGAGAGGGATGGCCCTCGTTTTCTCTCTGATCAGTTTCATCGTCATGGCTTCCAATAAGCATGGCGATTGGAAAAATTTCGATAAATACGAGGAATATAGGTAATTTAATATCCTATTGCTATCTTCCTTTCATTTTGTATTCCATATTTTCTAGTCGGCTGGATTGAAATTTTCCGGGCTTTTGTCAAAATTTCATTACTGTGTCTGGGTCTTGAATAACTGAAAATGCAAATTGGGATGTACGCTGTGTCCTTCATTTTACAGTTTTATTTGTTTTTGGGTTTCTGATATTGTAATTTGGCACAGGTACGTCCTGGCGATTGCGATTCTGTCGTCACTGTACACCGGCGGCCAAGTGCTCCGGCAAGTTCAGGAAATCTCCACCGGAAAGAATTTTCTTCATCCAAGAACGGCTTTGCTGTTGGACTTCATTGGAGATCAGGTTTTCCTTCTCCTTCTTCAATTTCTATTAATCGGTCATTTTTCTTAACAGTTAATCAACTTATTATCTGTCTCATTGTAATTAATCAATTGAAATGAAATAACTAGGGCTATAAGAAAATAGATAATAAATAATTTGATTATATAAAATCAATTAATACATTTTATCAATCAGTAGCAGAAAATTAGGTCATGAATAATGACGTATATGTCCTCTTAAGTTTCTCAAAAGTTTTTTTTTTTTGGGGGGGGGGATTATGATTATTCTATGTGAGTTAGGGACTACAATTTTAATTCGTCCACACACATTAAACATCTTTTGTTTATGAACTCATTATAATAATTGAGATATTATTGAACTGGTATGCATAAAGACTCTTAACGAAACATTAATATTTAAACAATTAAATAAATTTACCTAGTTATCAAATCATGTAAATAAACACCCTAGTAAAATATAAAATTGAGTTTTTTAACATTATAATGGACTCGTATAAAAATACTAACATGTCACGCCATTTAATTAAAAATTAGTAAGATCAGCTTCTGGCAATTCTTGAAAAGAATGAATAGGTAGTTTTTTTTTTTTAAACCAGAAGATGAATAGGTAGTTTAAAACTAAAACTTTGTTTCGAAGTTACCTCTGCGAAGGGATTGAAAATGAATTCATATTCGATATTTGTCAAGTAATAGAAAAGTGCATTTACATGTCACCATTTCTTTTTGAAGTTGCGTTCACAAGGAAGAACTTTCCAACAGGTTCTAAATACGTGTGTGCTGTCTGTTGTGTGTGCGTGTGCGTGTGCGTGTGAGAGAGATCTTGATAACCTGCTAGTAAGTTATCGGGTCCTACGTGGCCCCACCTTGTAGTTAAGTTGACCTGTGTTTTGGAGGAAGACCAGACGCTTCATTTGAATGGTTCACACTTGAAAGCTTCGTCGGCTAAATTAAAAAAAGAAAAAATCACATTTAATGATCTCTTAAAAGAATTATTCACCAACAAAAACTAATAAAAAGTTTCATTAAAAAAAAGTTACACTTTTATTTTAACAATAATCTATTTTACATTAATTTTTATTTGTAAATAATTTTTTTAAAGAGTCTTTGAAAATAATTCTCTCATTAAAAAAGTACATGATAACGGTTTACATAATGCACAAAAATAAATAAATTTAATTAACACGAATAAATAGGTGCATAGGTGATTTCAGGTCAAAAGAAAATGAATGGGTGATTTATAGGCCAAAGACGTTTCAATAACACTTGAATTTGATTCTCTTAAACATGTTTAACATAAGTGACACAGTGAATGGGTCCAAATTACATGAATTGGATCCTTGGCATGTATTATTTTGATGGTAACATTTTGTCTTACGAACTGAGACCCAGCTTAAGAAAATTGTTCAAATTTTGAAGTATATATAACAAGTTATCATCTCATTGTATATTTCTTGAAAAAGCATTTTTCAAATGAATCTATTAATCCATAATATCATCGACAATGTAGATAATGGCGTATCTGTTGATATCATCAGCATCCTCAGCAGTGCCATTGACAAACAGAATGAGGGAAGGATCAGACAATATATTCACAGACACTTCTGCTGCAGCCATTGGCTTCTCTTTCTTGGCATTCTTTGCTGTTGCTGCTTCCTCCCTTCTTTCTGGCTACAAATTATCAATTCAATCTTATATCTGAACTTCATCAAAATTATAACTCTGTTTATCCGTACATTACTTTTGTGTGAAGAATGTAAGAGATAGATAGTAAGAGGGGTTTGGAGTGTGAGTCTGTGGGAGTAGTATTTCCCTATTTTGTGTTCAAAGTTCAAACGCTTTTGATGTCATTAGATTTCGCTTTTTATATTTCTGACTAAAAATTCACAATTTAGTAATCAAAAAAGGAAACTTTTGACTTTGTTCATGTGTTTTGATATCACCATAGATACTTTGACTAATTCTTAACACGGTGAGCATTCTGAACCTTGTTTATTCTTTCTTCCACCACATCAGAAGTCAATTGAAATTTTTACTCGGTCTTTTCCATTCTTAAAGCCGCAAAGCTTTTCATCATCTTCACAGTTGAATATTTCAAAGACCACGGTGTTGTGTGAGCGTGTTTATTTTTCTGGTCTGAGGCCTTAGGGAATAACTGTGATAAAATAAAATGTTGATGCAAATATAGAAATATAAAACTTCATTGCTATTAAACTTTATTGAGGACAAGAAGTGCAAAGAGAATAGTAACATAAACACGTTAAATCTACATGAAAATCGCATCCTTTTTTCTACTAAACAAATACAACAAAAGAATAACACAAATTATCAGCTAAATGTTTTCTGTATCACGTCCTAAGTCCTACATTATGTGGAATGTTAAAATCCTTCTTGTCCCTTCTTATTTCCATGATTCTTTGTTTCTAATTCTATTCCTCTCTAAATGCCTAACATCGTATGTGTTACACAGAGGCATGTGTATGATTATATGCTTTTCCTTTTGGTTCCTGATTTGGACATAAATAACTGAAGGAATTAATCTTTCCTTCTTCTCATCCGTGGCTTCTTATGTGTTAGTGTTATACGATCCCATTGATCTGACGAAATCAGAGTATGCAAAACTTGCTGGGCTCTGCAACATGTCAAATAGAAATGAATCTTGACTTGCAGATGTTGGTTGGCTTGCGTTATGAAGCGAATTTGTTAAGCTTGACGTGCTGGAAAAACTGTTCAACGCGGAAGCCGCTGATGGCCTTATGGGTGCAGTAACATTGTTGCTGGTGGCGTTGCTGTTCCGAGAAGCTCCGGTCATGTTATAACTCCCACTTCCTCGAGCTGCAGGAACATCATGGTTGTGTTTCCCTTCATATGTTGTGATCACAGCTTTCATATCATGAGCAGCTCGCTCGATATGTTTCCTCACCGAACACCCCGGAGCTGTGCACTTGTAGTAGCTCCTGCACATAGGACAATTTGATCAATTTTAAGTCAATGCAGATTGGAAGCAAAGAAATTGCAATAAAGGCTAGCATCAGTTACATACCTTGGGTTTGGATTTCCTTTAACTACTTTCTGACCATATTTCCTCCACCTATAGCCATCATCAAGAATATCAATTTCACTTGTAGTTTGAACTACGACTCTTGGTTCCCTCACAGTCCTATTCCCGGAGGTGGCATAGCCATCAATTTCATTCTCTCCTTTCCTGAAAAAGAGAAATGAATCAGAATCAGATCTTGTCATGCATAAATCAAATCAGGGCATTCACATTGTAATACTATATTATGAACTTACCATCTTTTGGCATCAGGGCCAAAGTCATTGTCATCGCCTCCAGAGTAACAGGTTTGTGATGTGTGCTCAAAGTCATCTTCTCCAACAGAGACGGAAGAATCTTCTTGCATCGAGGTCGGCTCCATTTGTAGATTACCTAGGGTCACCGCCGATTGATCAGAAATCCCGGAATTGGTACAAGATGAAGAAGGTTGAATGGATTGAGAACCAGATCTTCTAGTGGACTGAGGCTTGGGATGGTTATGAGTTCCCTTATATACTATCTCAGTAATTTGTCCATCCAAAGACGTTTCAACCTTCTTCTTCATGGAGCAACTCGGATGCGTGCACTTGTAATAGCTGCGAGGATTTTCGCTCGCCTTCACCTGTTTCTGTCCATATTTTCTCCAGTTGTACCCATCATCTGACCTCTTTTGAAGTCTTATGGATTGGGATGGATTCGCGTAGTTGGCATAACCAGAAGCAGGAGCCAAATTGTTTTGCATCTGAGGTTCTGAGGAGAATCTCTGATTTGATGGATACTCAGATTTTGCAGCTGTCTTCTCATTCCATGGTTCTATCTTCAGTGGTTCCTGCTGCACAAGATAGCTCAAAATAAGTGACTAGAATAACGAATTTAGAGTATCAACAAATTACTTTGTCAGTTCTGATTATGTGGTCTGAGAATTATAACACAGTCTACTGTCTGCCAGGGCAAAGAAACATCCATTTATGTTCCTGATAATTTAGTTATTTCAACTTCAGCATCTAATCATTGAGTTTTGAAATCTGAAAATTGTATTAGTTACTAAAAGATCAAACTTTGAATTTATTGACAAAAATAAGACCAAGAAGAAATGAAAAAAGACAGACGGAGGAAGAAGACAATTCAAAGGACCGTTTACACAGAAGCAAAGACAGGAAACTTGTCTCCAAGTGCACACCAGGAACAAGGAAACAAGTCAGCAAGATTCGTAATGATTCAATGAATAAACAAAGGAAAAAAGAAAAAAAGAGGCAGCCGAATTACAGTCTAGTCAAAAGCCATCTATATTACCCCATAAGAATAGAACAGAACTCACCGCTTGAAACATGGTTGAAGAATATTCCAAGAAGGACGGGGGCTTCGATTGGGTTTGGAAGGAGAAGTCAGAGAATGGCTTCTCCTCGTCCTCCTTGTTATTAAACGTCTCAGCAGAAGGAAGAACCTAAAGCAACACGAAAAAACATCCCACAATCAGCAATGACCAAAAACACGAAATCAGAAACACAAAACACAGAAAAAGAAGCTTGAGAACTCACATTTGGGGATGAAGAGAACAAGGGGGAGCTGAGGAACTGGGTAGGGCTAAAAGGCAAGTAAGAAGAAGGAGAAAGAGGGGAGGGAGAGAGGGGCAAGGAAGGAGGAGGGGTTGACTTGAATTTGGGGATTTCAGAAGAAGGCCAGCGATCATCCATGGAAAGGAGCTCGGTGAAAGAGGTCGTCATAAAAGGCTGTGTCTTGAGAGGTTTGAATTCAAATGAGGGAGAAGGGCTGGGAGGCATGTAAGGAGAGAGGATTGGGAGGGATGTATTATAAAGTCAGGGGAGATACTTCGGAGAAGCTCAAAAAGGGCCAAGTTTGACTGTGGAAAATGGAAGATGAATGGTCAAGGCTTGTGGGTTTGACTGGCCATTTGCGAGAAGAAGGAGAGAGGCGGCTGAGATTTGAGAACGTGAGAAGTGAGAAGGGATGAAGGCACGTGTCTTGTTACATGGTGTTTTGCTGGACCGTTTTTCATCACTACTGCATCCCCATTTATTAGAATCCCACGCTTTTTCATGCACCACTTATTAGAATCCCACGCTTTTTCATGCACCACAATGCTTCCTTTCATATTTTTGTTATATGAGTTATCCCCCCCCCCCCAACAAAAAAAAACTTAACTGGAATGATCATTATATATCTTAAATTCAATTATAAATTAATTATAATTTATCATTTTGTTATTAACTTACCACATATTCACTAGTAGATCCTAAATTAATTTTTTATTTTTTATTATAAAATATTTGAGTTTAAGATGTTCACTGATTTTTTACTATTTTACATAAAGTTAAACGGTAAAAATGACTTTAATTTAATATTTTAAAATAAAAAATATGTAAAAATTGAATGTGTGGCCCACTAACATTGAACAAATGGTGAGTTAATTACAGTGATGAGGGAGGGAAATTTTAAAGTTGAAAAATAAAATTAATTCATGTTGAGTTTAGGGGTACCTAATTACCTTTTAAGTAAGGTTAAGGGACAAAAATAATCATTAACCCTATATTTTTAATATAAGATAAATTTTAAAATTTTTTTAAGTAAAAAGTTTAAAGTAGAATAACTACTATTTTTTCTAATTTTATCTCTTATTTATTATTGTTTGAATTCTTAGACAACTATTTATTATACTCTATCTGTCCTCCGTTTTCAAATATAAGAGAAACTCTCCCTTTAGTTCTGATTATAAGTGATTTCCAGCATATTTTGTCAGTGTTAAAAAAAACTTTAAACTCCATTAACTCTATTTTAAAATTTAATAAGTTTACACCTTTACCTCTAATAATAACAAAAATAATTATTTTTAATAATTTTTTTCTAACATTTAATAATAGTAAAAAGGTAAAAATGAACATAAAAAATGGTAACAATACATAAGACCAAAATTAGTCTTCTCCCTTTATAAAATCCTAGAAATTTAAACCTATTAACTAAGCTTAATGATAGTAATTAAGTTTATTGATGTGGTGTGTAGTTAGAGGGGTCTAAAAAGTGTGTTTGATTATGATTTCAGCCCTAAGTGTAGTTTCGAAGAGAAGTTAGGTCATACAGGCATCAAAAGGTGAGAAATAATTAAAGAAGGGTCCTCTGTGCCATATTTTGCAGCGTGAGGGACATTCGCTACTACTCACAAAGGCAACCAACATGAGCTATGCCTCTCTGTGTCATGTGTTGCAGTGTAGGTTACACACACTGTGGTGCATGGCCAAAATTCTATTTAAACCAGTTCATGTCTATTCAAAAAATTAGAAGAAAGAAGAGGGAGGAATAAAGAGCATACCTATTGCTCTGTTAGGGCATAAACTTGGGAATTATTAGAGATATTTTAAAACTTCCTAACACATAAGGTAAGTACATTAAACCTTCATATTCCCTTTCCTTTCATTTTTATGAGGATTTAAGATAGAGTTTGAATTGTGATAATGGGTTTTAGTCCATATGAGCTATAGGTCCGAACCTAACGATTAAAACATGAATAATGGGAGTGGTTTATAGTATTTAGACTCCACATTTATGGTTTTGTGAGTTGTTGGTTGTTGACGATCATTAATATCTAAAAATAGCATAAATATGATTATTGGGGTTGTGTTGAAGCCATAATGGTGATTTAATGGCTCATTTATGTCACTTCGTAAACCCAATAGATATGATGAGAAGTGGAAATTGTGCTATTGTGTGAGTGAAAGAATGAGTTAGTGTTGGAAATTATTCAATTGCAGTATTAATGGATACCCTTATGAATTAATTGTAGATTAACTATGTTGGCACCATTCAAGCTTGAGAAAAAGTCTAGGAAGTTATGTTTTGAGGGGTAAACTTTTGATCTCTCAAATGTTTGAGGTAATCGAGAAAAGATCTAGTTTGTATAGTTGTTTATTAAGTAATTATTTGTTGAATTTAGCTATTTGAAACTTATTTGGTGTTTTGAAAATTCATTGAAGCAAATTTAGCACTGTTTGATGTAACATCCTCCATCTTAAACCAAATTAATTAAGCCCAATTAGATTACTTAAGTGTATTAGTGAGGTGTGTGGCTAGAGATGTCTAACGGTTATGTTTGATTGTGATTTTCAGCCCTAAACGCGAGTCCAAAGGAGAACTAGGTCACCCGAGAAATGAGAAGAGAAAGAAATTTAAAGGGTAAGGTTTTGTGCCACGTGCAGCGACTTATGGATCAGGCCACCGTGACGTATGCATGTTGACATGCTTCGGGAAGCCTTCTCCATGCCATATGCTGCAACACATTGTGCATTTTTTATGGCGTATAGACACTTTTTTGCTATAATAAGATCACAAAATTGATGCAACAAAGGAGAAAAACAAAGAAGTGGTGAAGAGAGACAGAAAGAGCAGTGCAAGGGCTTAAAGAATCTGACTATTAGGAGTGTTTTAGAGCTCATAAACATTAAGGGTAAGTTTATTACACCTAAATCCTCCTTCCTTCTTCCATTTTCTTAGTGGTAGAAGTTAGAGTTTGGTTAATAATGATAATTTTCAATCTATATAGGCTATGAGTTTGAACTCATTAACTTAGATAGAGTTAATGGGAGTAGATTAAGCTAATGAAACTTGATATTTATGGAGTTATGATGATTGGTGGTTGAGAAATATTTAATATACAAAATTTTCATACATAAGTTGGTTGGGAACAATGTGATCCCATTAGTGGTCATTAAAGAGCTCGATGATGTTAGTGAGAGTTAAAGGAAGCCAAGAAACTTTATAGGTATTTTTATATGAGTATAGAATGAATATTAAGTATGAAGAAGTCTTAAGCTAATAGTGAAAATTAGCTCAACTATGGATATTAATTAATTATATTGTAAATGCTTATAGAGCAACCTTATTAGTACCATTCAAACTTCTTGGAAGCTTTAGGAGTAAGTACTTAGGGGATAAAACCTTTAACCTCTCAAAGTTTTGAGGTAACTAGGAGAATTCTATCTTGTGCTTATGTGTATTAATTAGTTTATTGAATTATATATTTGATAATTAAAATGTGTAGGATTGATTGAAATGCAAGTGTGGGATGAATTGTTTGAAAAACCTACTATGAGGTAGTTATCTAATAAATTTTAATGATTTTAAAATTATGAAGTTCAATGATTGCGAATGTGTGAGGTATAATAATTTTATGTGTGAAAAGAGTTATATGATTGCATGTTCTATGATGTGCATCTTATTGTGGAGTTTAAAGAAATGTAAGTTTGAGGAGTTTAATGACTTGTATTATATGGAGTTCAATGATTTGTTTTATTTAGAGTTCAAGTTCAATGATGTGAATTGTGATAGGATACAACGATTATGTATTTGAGGAGTTTAATGACATATGTGTTGTGGAGTTTTATGATGTGTGTAAAATGTGAGTTATTGATATCTATGCATTACAAGATCATGAGAGGTGAGAGTTCGCTTAGAAAAAGGAGTAAAGAATTACACTATTACAAAAAGACATTTCTACTACCTTAATTTACGTCCCATTTTAAAAGTTAGACTTAGAAAGAACACAATCCACGTCACATAAGTAAAAAGAGGACGTGGATTGAAAAAAATTTCTTTTATAAAAAAATTTTAATAAGCCACATCTCCTTACATCTTAAGGGGATATGGCTTTATTAGAATCCAAGGTCAGAATCCACGTCCCCCTTTGAGGAGAGGGACGTGACTTTTGCAGAAGCCACGTCTCCCTTGAAGAGGGGGACGTGGCTTCTAACAGAGCTAGTTGGCTTCTGCAGAAGCCACATCCCCCTTATAAAGGGGAACATTGCTTCATGTTAGAAGCCACGTCCCTCTCCTCTCTGGGGGATGTCCCCAGAGAGGAGAGGGCCGTGGATTTGTCCCCCAGAAATGAGAGGGACGTGGCACAAATTCATGTCTCTCTCCTCTCTAGGAGACATGGATTCTTCGTCCCCTCTTAATTTTTGAGCCTTATACCAGTCAAGTTTTTTAAAACAACATTCAAAGTTTGATATACCTGCCCTCATCTCTAATCAGAGTATCGTCTTTTTACTTATCAGTCTTAGCTAAGCTTCTCAATCTGGTCTTTCTACTGCTCATCCAAGCTTCTCGATCGCATTTTTTTGCTGCCCTCTTTGTGACTCTCGTCTCTCTTAACTTCTTAGCCTCTTGGTGCTTCTCATCTCTTTCAGCTTCTCGGCCAGGAATAGTTGCTCTACCTCTCGTTTCTCTCAGCTCTACAATCTGTATCTCGTGTGTAGCAGCAGCTCCCTGCCTCCCGTGTTCATCCTCTTCTCATCTCTCTCAGCTTTTTAGCCAAGAACAGCTCAGTATCTCTTCCCACTGCTCATCTTCTCTTCAAGTTGTTTAGCATACAATAGCTCTATATGCATTCTCAATGATAGTCTAGGATAGTCTTGATTGCATAGTTCTAATGTGGATCTCATGATTTAATTTCAACTCCTTAGGTTTTTGTAAGAAATGAAAGATTTATTTATAAACAAATACTTCATTTATTTTAATTTATATGCAATAATTTTTATATCATTCTATTAATAAGTTTCTTAATAATCTTTGTATTGGATCACAGAAAGATCAATTTGAATTTTTGTATCCAGCTTCTTTGACATCGGCCCACAATGATATCAGTGATAGGATGAGATATATGGGCAATACCATTTTAGAAACAAAATTGCCATGTTATCTGGCTCCAATTCTTGAAGGTAAGTTCTTTTATATTCATTTATATATATATATATATAGATATATTTAGTTTGATAATCTTT